AGGAGAGCAGCATTTTAAGAAGCCCAAGGTGGGCATGGCGAGCCCCGAAGAGGGGAGCGCCTTATTGAGAAGCCCGGTGTGGGCGTGGCAAGTCCCAGAGAGGGGGTGCTATTGGGAAGCCCTAGTACGGGCACACAGAGCCCCAGAGAAGGGGACAGCTTACCGGAGAGCCCTGAGAGGGGACTGTTATACAGAGAAGGCCCCAGAGAGAGGGCAGCACTGTGGGAGGCCCCAAAGAAGGGGGCAGCACTGCGGAGAAGGCCCAGACTGGGCACAGAGCCCCAGGAGGGGGCGGTGATATGGAGACGGACCGAGAAAAGGGCGGCAATACAGAAGAGACCAGAGAAACGGGCGTGAGTGCAGATAGAGAGACAGACCAACGTCCATTCCAACTGCGAGGCTTGGGGCATGGTATAAGGGGTGGTTGGAGCCACGCATAGTCCATAAGGCTAGGGTGCTCCGAAGCACCCGTTTACAGAACAAGACCCACGAGGGGTCCAGCAGTCTACAGGACCAGGGGGTACAATGGACCATGTCCAAGAAGACGTGAGGCAGCCTCCCAACTGATTTAAACCATCAAAGACGTGGCGGGCAAGAAATAGAGGGTGCCCTTGGGCCAACTTGGCATGGAGAGGGGGCCTTAAGGAGATCACGGCCCTCCTGTAGGACCCCGCCGTGACAGTAAGGGTTACCAGAATCTGGAATGGGCTTCCAAGGGAGGTGGTGCTCTCTCCTACCGTGGAGGTCTTTAAGAGGTGACTAGACAAGCACTTGGCTGGGGTCATCTGACCCACTCTTTCCTGCCTGGGGTAGGGGGTCGGACTCAATGATCTAGTGAGGTCCCTTCTGACCCTAAAAAATCTATGAAATCTATGAAGAAATTGATGGTGACATACCACAAAGTTTAGCAAATGCATGAGGCATGGTTGCATTAACTGCACAAATTTCAGGAGGAGTGGTCCCACTAATTACACGAGTAATTACATTGGCACTATTTTAGCGAAGACCGAATGAACTTGATTACTGGTACCCCAAATACCACATGGTATTCAGGATGCCACAAAAATGAATGAAATATGATGCCAAATTCAAGACCAGAATTGTCAACTTTGCTCTTGATACTGACAACAGTTCTGCAGCTCATCAGTTTGGCGTGAATGAGAAATTGATTCATGACTGGTGGAAAAACATTGACAACATAAAGAAGATGCCTCATGAGAAGTGTGCAGACCGTGGAAAGCAATGCGGGTGGCCAGAATAAGAAAGAGACCTCACCAAGTGGGTCAACGATCAGCGACAGTCTGGCAGAATCATAACAAGAGAGATCATCTGACTGCAAGACAAGATGTGTACTATGGAGAAAGGATTGAAAGACTTTACTGGTAACCCAACTTGGTGCTCCCAGTTTATGAAGAGGAATTCTTTTTTGCTGTACCAGAGAACTAAGATATCACAGAGATTATCGGCCAACCTCAAAGACAAGATAACCCAGTGCCAGAGTTATGTGTTGAACCTTTGAAAGAAAAACTATTATGATCTCAGCCAAATTGGGAATATGGATGAAACACCCAGTCCCCAACCTTGGAAGTCTTCAAGAGGAGACTGGACAGACATCTTGCTGGGATCATTTGATCTCTGCAGTATTCCTGCCCAGAGCAGGGGGGTTGGACGTGATGATCTTTCAACGTCCCTTCCAACTCTTCATTTCTATGATTCTATATGCTTCAATATGCCAACAAACAGAACCGTGGATATCACTGGCACTTAATGTGTACTGATGAAGAATATGGGCCACGAGAAAACCAACTATATTGTAATTCTTGCCTGCATGGCTGAGGGCATGAAACTAAAACCAATGGTCATCTTCAAAAGGAAAACATTCCCCAGGAAAGACCAATTCCCCACTGGCATTGTTGTTTACGTTCACCCAAAAGGCTGGATGGACGAGGAAGGTGTTCACATTTGGATACAGCGAGTGTGGAATACACACCCCGGCATGCCATTACAACTGAAATCAATGCTCGTATGGGACATTGTGGCAGGGCACTGTTGGTGCCTGCCACTTTAAGAGAGGAGCCAAGCAGCCAGCAGGTGCTTGACTGCAGCAGCCATTTTAGATCTCTGTCCACCCATATAAACAGGGCAGTTTGCTGCTGGCAGGCCAGGCAGCAACGTTGCCTGGCTTCAAGGCTCCATAACATCCTGGAGGCAAGGGTAGAATCTGTAGGGGATGGTCAGGAGGCTCCTGGTCCTGGGCATGACCTAAAGCTGCACCCTGCTGGGAGTGGGTGGCCTGGTGAGGCTCTCAGTGGCACGGGAGCCCCCACAAAATGCCAGGCCAGTTATCACCCTGGTGAAAGGTGGGTAGGGGTGCCTTAACCCTAGCCCTCACCTTCAGCTGGGTTTACGTAACGTCAGAGGTAGTGGGGCCAGGCACGGCTGAGGTCACCTGAGCCCTGTGGGGTGTAGGACCCTGAGAAAAAGGTACTTGGGGCCAGGCATGGCTATGACCACCTCAGCCCACCGGGGAGGGAAGCCCCATGGCTCCGAGTGAGGGGGGGGTGTGGAGCCCCGAGTGAGGGGGAGTAGGCCTAGGTACGTCTCCAGATGCCTGAGGCTGTAGTTTGGGCCAGAGGCCAAGGAAAGGGGGCTCAGTCCAAGAGAGAGGGGCGAGTCCAGACCCCAGTAAGTCCTCCACCACTGCGAGGCTGCGTGAGAGTCGAAAGCAAGACCTATAGTGGAGCACAATGACATGCTGCTCCAGGGGGTGAGTGAGAGTCCCTGTGAGAAACTGGGGCACCCGTCGTGGTGTGGGATAAGAACGTTCCAGTGAGGGGTGGCCCCAGAAAGGGGGCAGAGATGAAGAGCCCCAGTCGGGGGAAGGAAAACCAGAGGGCTGAGTGCCAGGTATGTTTATATGTATAGAGTTGCTTCTGGGAGGGGCCAGAGCAAGCTTAGACCTGGTCAGGTAATTGGCTGGCCACTACCACAGTGAGGGTCATAGGAGAGGCCCAAAAGATGGTACGTCTGCCACCTAAGGTATGAACTAGCTAAGCCTATGGCCTAAGGGGCCCATTCCAAGAGGGAACAAGGCAGTATAAGTTGTTGACAAGAGGAAGAGACCCTGTGTGAGAGAGGGTGGACTGTGTGAGGCCCTAGTGAGAGGAGGGTGATATGAATGTGTGTGAGTCTGTGGCCTGGCAACGAGGCCTAAGCTTGGTCTGGCTGTAAGCCGGGAGGACTGTCATCTGGATGCCATCTGCGAGGCTTGGGCTGCGGTGTAGGGGAGGAACAGGGCCACAGATAGTGCCCCCTGGCATCAGGGCAAGAATGGGCAGCCTCCCACCTTAATTAACATCCTAATTAATTAAGAACAAGGCATGGCAGGTGAGTCAGGTGGGTGGTGTGTCCAAAGGCAAGTGGGGAAACTAGCACTGTGGCTAGTTGGGGAGCCCCACTTTGCCACAGACATGTTTAAGGCCCACCTCTGACAGTGTGAAAGCATTCTGCGGCAAAATAAAACAGATTTAGCAGTCATCCCTGGAAGGCTAACATCCATTGTGCAGCCATTGGATGAGCGCTTAAACAAACCATTCAAAGACCGCATTCGCATTAAGTGGCAGAGCTGGATGATAAGCAGCCAACATTCATATACAAAAGCTGGAAATATGTAAGCAGCCTCCTTAGTAACTGTGTGCCAATGGATTCTTACAGTTTGGAGGGACATTAAACTTGAAACCATTTTACATTGGTTCAAAAAATGCGGGATCAGTAATTTTATGGATGGTGAGGAGGATATTTTATGGTGTGACAAAGATCAAAGAGAGGATGAAGACACTGAAACATCTGATACTGAGGATCCATATGATAATTGGATTGCTAATCATTTAGATTGCAAGGAACTGTTTGGGGCTGACACTTTTGATGATGAAAGTGAATGAGGGATTTTAAATTGTTAATTTTTAGTATTTTTAAAAATGTTTAAAATTGTTAATTTAAAAAGGGATTAAATTAATTAAATGAGGGATTTTTAAATGCTATTTGAGTGCGAGCCATGGTGACTAGTACTAACTGCAACTGATGGTGTGAATCCTGGCGGTGATTGTTTGATTGTTCTGTTCTGTGCTGATTGTGTGTAACCCACAGCCTCGGTGCTGATTGTGCTAATCATGCCAGTGACTGTTTGTTCTTGTCTCTGAATAAAATGTGGGTCAACTTATAAACTTATAAATCCTAAAGTTTTGCATCAGAAAAATGGGGTTGACCTATACACCATGTCAACCTGTATACCATAAAACACGGTATTTTTCTAGCCATTTCGTTTCATGCAGCTCTCAAGGTAAAACTGGAGGACTATGGGCTCAACATACATTTGATAGATTTAATGCTAATTAAAAGTTTGTATGTGAACAAAATTTCATTAAATTAAGTTGCAATTAATACAGTTATGTATGACTGTTGTATCTTATTGTCATAACTTATATCCAGGGCCAACACAATCTCTCTGGTCATTCTTAAGTGGTACCACAACCAATTCTTGCCTGCTTGTTTCAGTTAATTTGTATATTGCAGTTTTATAGGGTTTAATCAGGCCTAAATGCAGATAAGGGGAAGTATTACTGAGCCTCTCTGCAACAGTGGGCATATCTACACGAGACACTTTACTTGAGATTAGAGCTAATAACTGTGTAGCAAGTGTCACCATCTACATGTGCAGATGCTTACTGCGCAGTAATTTGTTCTAGTCATGAGTAAATTTGCTACCTATAAATACAAGTAGCAAACTTACTCTCAATTACTTATTGCACAGTGGAATTCAAATATGCAAACATAAATGGTTGCAAATATTTAATAATTAATACTCCATTTCCCTGCTACCTTACACTCAACTGTTTTCCTATTTTGATATGACTTATTTGCTTACTTCCTATGGTTCCTGAAGAGAGACTTGCCATTAATTCATCTGGCGCATTCTGGTGAAGGGACTAAAAAGCACCCACCGTGCATATGAGCCATCTGCCAGTGAGGGATGTTCACCTTCTTATTATTACGCAATGACAAGGGAAATGTTACAGCATCGCCAGCTGCAAAAACACTTTGGATGTTGGTCTGCATCATCTGAAAGGAAAGAAGGGGCATTTAGTGTAATTCGTGATCAGGCTGAAATAGGCATTGCTAATGAAGAGCTGACAGTGTTAGGGCATAGCTACATGTTCATTAATGCACACTAGTTACTGGTCATTTAGTTTAGTACTTGCTTTAATAAAGTACTAAATAAATGCGCAATAATTACAGTTACTGCACAATAGTACCAGCACAGTTTTTTTATGATGGCTACTGTGCAGTAGCCTAATAACACTGCACAGTAGCTTATTAGCATTTTTTTTTTACCGGCATGCTACTGCGCAGTGTTATTAGGCTACCGTTCAGTAAGCGTCTCATATAGATGTGCCCTTATTGTCAGAGGTTGCTGTCTTCATGTAGTAACAAACAAGGTGTCATCCCAACAGACTGTGTGAATAATTTTATTAATTTGCTTTAAGTGTATTTAAAAAAAGAGAATGACAAACTGAGAACATCTGATGTCTTGAACGTCTTTAACTCAGAATTGTCTCTGCAGACACACGAAGAAATATGACTTGAATCTGGATTACCCAAAGTGGGTGTGTCTGCATGTGCATTTGATGCAGGAACAGTTTACTTGTGAGTAAACTACTCGCAAGTAAATGCTTCCGGGCAGGCATCTACACATGCAGGATCGCGGGCTCAGGTAGTTTTTTCCTCTGTGCTCCCTGTTGCAGGCCACGGTCCAAGGAGGCAAGAAGGCACTGATGAAGTGAACCGGTGTCTCCGACGGTGGTGCCACCAAAAAGGCTTTGGCTTCTATGGCCACGGCGCCCATGTCAAGGACAAAGGACTCCTGGGGAGAGATGGCATTCACTTCACGTGGAAAGGTAAGTCCCTTTTCTCAGGCAGGATGGCCGATCTCTTAGGTAGGGCTTTAAACTAAGATCACAGGGGGGGGTGAGAAACTGGAGCCTACCCAGGGACCAATATACAGGAAAGCTCCATTGACAATGAAACCATCAATAATTAAACCAAGCAAGCCACTCTTACGGGAGCTGAGAAAACAGCTGCCCTTCAACCCAACAGGCAGCCAGTGACCTCAGTAGAAGGACTTAGGTGCCTGGACACCAATGCCAGAAGCATGGGGAACAAGCAGAAGAAACTAGTCCTCCTGCTTTCCACTGGGCATTACGATCTAGTAGGGATCATGGAGACCTGGTGGGACTCCTCTCATGACTGGAGTGTAGCCATAAAGGCCTGCATCCTTCACAGAAGGGATTGGGTAGGAAAGAGAGGTGTGGGTATTGCCCTCTATGTGAAGGAGCAGTACACCTCCCTACTAGCCAATGTTGACCCCAAAGAAGAACAGCTTGAAGTCCTCTGGGTCAAGCTCTGGGGGAGGTGCGACAAGAGAGACCTGACTGTCTGTATACTACAGGCTGCCTAATCAAGGGGAGAAACTTGATCTAGTTTCTCATGGCCCATGAACTAATGGAGGCCATGTGTGCACGGGACATAGTTGTCGTGGGTGACTTCAACTACCCAGACAACTCCTGGGAGAAGTGTTCAACGATCCTTCCTGACCAGCACCAAAGAGCTTTTTTTGACTCGGGAGGTGCACAGGCCAACTAGAGTCAATGCAGTTCTTGACCTGGTCCTGGTCAAATGGGATGACCTGGTGACCAACTTAAACATAGAGGGCAGCCTAGGCGATAGTGACCATGAAATCTTTATGTTCACAGTCTGTTGCAAAGCTGACAAAACAGATACCAAGCTCAAAGTCTGAGACTCCAAAAACACAAATTTTATTAAGCTCAGGTCACTAGTAGAGAATGCCCTGAGAGACCAAGGACCACAGGTAAGGGGAGCACGAGAAGAATGGTCGTTTCTTAAGGATACAATTCTTAAGGCTCAGAGAAAATCCATTCCTGTATGGAGAAAAAGTAGCAGAAGGGTCAAAAAACCCTCTTGGCTAAGCAGAGAAGTTGCAGCCCTCCTACAGAAAAAGAAAGGCGTATAAACAATAGAAGCTTGCGACAGCCTCTAAGGAAGACTACTCAACAATGGCCCACACTTGTAGAAAACTGATTAGGCAAGCTAAGGCAGAAATCGAACTAAAACTAGCTACAGGAATCAAGGACAACAAGAAGTCCTTCTTTAGCTACATAGGGAGTAAAAGGAAAACTAATGAGAGTGTGGGGTTGCTGCTCAGTGCCTCAGGATACCTGGTCACTACCACTCAGGAAAAAACAGAACTCCTAATTGACTATTTTGCCTCGGTCTTTCACAAGACCAAGGGGACCAACATGCCAGGTAGGGCACAGAATGAGCAGGGCGGGATTGACACCATTCCCACCATTGCCATAGAACTGATGTACGGTCAATTAAAGAAATTAAATGTATATAAAGCAGCAGGACTGGATGAACTCCACCCCAGAGTGCTGGAAGAGTTGGCCGAAGTAATCATAGAGCCCCTGGTGAAGGTCTTTAAAAAATCATGGGCCTCTGGAGAAATCTCTACACCCCAAGTGTGCCCCTGCTGCACATGTCATAGGTGCAGCATGAGTAGCTGTTTGCATGGACTGAGGGGTGCCTGATCCACTGTGCTCTGCACATACACACCTGTTGCAGAACCCTGAGCTTCAACGATGCAGAAGGCAAGTACACACTGCCCTGCAACCTCCAACACCACCTGGAGAGCTTCCTGGGGCTTCACTACATATCCCTGCCCTCTGGAACTGAGGAGGACATCCCTGTATGCTGTGTGTGGGGAGGAAACCTGGGGGCCAGGGGAGTGAGGCTGGGCTGGGCTGGGTGGGGCTGGGGGCAGGGGCCAAGTTGGGGAGGGCTCTCCCCCCCAGTGTGTGGCTTACCACATGGGCGGGGCTGGCACGCCTTGGGGCTCTGGTCAGTCGTGGCTGGCAGCAATAGCATGTGGCTCCCAGTGGACTTCTCAGTTGGAGAGGTGCAGTGTGTGGGTGCCCAAGCAGGGGCCCCCTCCACAGAGGAGCTGGTGTTGGCACTGCTGGTGGCCAGTGATGATATGGCTGGCTGTGCCTCATGCCTGGGGCTGAGGTCTTGGAGCTTTTGGGGCAGGTACTGGCTCAGGCTCCCTGAGCTGCTGGTGGAGGCTGAGGTGGGGAGCTCAGCAGCATGGACTGCTGGTGGCCCAAGGAGCCCTCCCCCAGTGACACAACACTGCATGTGGCAAGCCAGAGTGGGGGCCTGGGCAGGCCACCCATGCTGCAGAACACAGCATAGCTGTGGCCTGGGACCCAGGGTGTGAGGATCTCCATCAGTAGGATGTCTACCAAATGATTTGGAAACATCTGAAGCCCCAGGTGGGGGTGAAGGATGTTTGCTGGTAGTAGGGCCACTTATGGTTCTTGACTGACTCACGGATTTGGAATTGATTTGGCTGATTTGGCTTGGAGTGCGAAAAATATTCATAAAAAAGTAAAAAAATAAAATAAGTTGCTGCATAAAGGGCATGGACTTACAGGCACTCCTTAACCGAATAATGTGGTCGGTGCTGGCAACCCACTGTGCCCACAAGGCCATGATCTTTATGTGGCACTGCCATGCTGACCGATCATGCCCATGCTCCTACATCTGGCCTGACAGCCCTTATAGACATGGGCGCTGGAGCACCTGCCCCACGCAAACTGCTGCTGCAATTCCAACTCGCCCCACAGTGCCACAATATCACCAGTCTCCTCCATGGACCAGTTAGGTCCTGGGAGGTGGTGTGTGCCACAAGAATGACACCACTGGGCCTCCTGTGCTGGCTTTTTGGCTCTCCACGAGGCTGTCCCTATGCTGTCTGGCCCAGGCAGCTGCCTGCAGCGCCCAGCTCAGGAGCACAGCATAGGACTAGCAGTTTCGTGGTAAGGCAATGCCCCACAGAACTTGCAGGGTCCTGGCAGGTTGTTGGCAGTTGGCTGCAGGCAGCTGGAGCTGGTGCTAGTGGTCAGAAACTGCCTGAAGCTGGGCTCAGGAGCCCGCAACACCCTGCAGGCCTGCATGGCATGGCTCTGGAAGCTGTGCGGTACTGCAGTGCCAGGCAATGGTGCCAGGGTGTAGGCAGGTAGCCTGCAGCCTGTGCAGGGGGAACAGAGGCCAGACGTCACCCCAGGCTCCCTACACATGTGCCCCAGGGCTCTAAATGCCTGTAGGCTTTTGAAGGCCTGGGTCTGGGGATACTATAGAGCTAATCCAGCTCTAGGGCAGGAAAGGCTTCCAGCCTTGGGGCCCTGGGTCTAACCTGAGGCTGGCTCCTTAGTGGTAGGGCTGACTGGGAGCAAATTTGCTCCTGGTTTCCACCTACACATGTTTTACTGTGCAGTAACTACTTGGAAGTAAATTTGCTACTTGCATTTGCAGGTACCAAATTTACTCACAAGTAGCGACGTTTACTGAGCAGTAAGCATGTGCACGTACAGATGTGCATGCTTACTGTGCAGTAAACTATGCTACTGCACAGTAAAGTGTCTTGTGTAAATGCACCCAGTGTATAATTCCAGGAGATTAAGTAAAATAGTTTAACCCCCTATCTGGATGCCTGTTTTTAAAATTCAAGTGGCCTTAATTTCATTAAGATTACTTCACTTCCAAAGTGGATCAACCTGTATACAGCTCCACAGTGTCCACATTATGAGGAATTAATAATATTTGAGAAATATCAGTGAGGCTCTAGACATCAGGGTTCTGTTTTTCTTCCTGGTTATGGGAGAGCCAAATGTAATAGTATTCCTCTAGAATGCCTGTGGAGACTTAGCACAGATACTCTGGATATAAAGTACCTGGATATAAAGCTAGCTCAGGTACCACTAACAATCTAATTGCAGCAACATGTCAGTCAGGGCAAGCTAATGTACTCTGCTGCTCATTAGGTTTGCAGCCTGTACTGAGCTCTGAAATGCTGCAGTAGCTTGCTTTCAATACCAGAGCTGAGTTTCATCTTCAGCTGTGGTGGAAAATCTTGCAGGTTCACAGCAGCATAATACGTGGTGTGTCTACACAGAATGCTTTCATAGATTCATAGATGTTAGGGTCGGAAGGGACCTCAATAGATCATCGAGTCCGACCACCTGCATAGGCAGGGAAGAGTGCTGGGTCTAGATGACCCCAGCTAGATGCATATCCAACCTCCTCTTGAAGACCCCCAGGGTAGGGGAGAACACCACCTCCCTTGGGAGCCCATTCCAGACCTTGGCCACTCTGTGAAGAAGTTCTTCCTAATGTCCAGTCTTTACTGTGCAATAGAGCAGTTTACTGAGCAGTAAGCATGCACATCTATGCATGTGTGTTTACTGCATAGTAAATTGTTTTACTCGCAAGTAAATTTGTGACTTGCAAATGCAAGTAGTATATTCACTCATGAGTAGTACTGCACAGTAGCACATGAGTAGACACTGACCAGGAGCAAATTTGCTTCCAGTCAATCCCTGTCACTAGGGAACCAGCCTCAGTGTAGCCCTAGCACTGGAAGTGTCTCCTGCCCCAGAGTTAGGTTGGCTCTATGCCAGCCCCAGCCCCTTAAAAGCTTGCAGCTACACTGGAGCCCCGGGACATATGTAGGCAGTCTGTGTCCATACCTAGCCACTGCATCCCCCTGTACAGGCTGCAGAGAAGCTCAGGCAGCTTGCCTGTACCCTGGCACCATTGCCTGGCACAGCAGTGTTGCATGCCTGCCAGGACTACATTGTCAAGCCCAGCAGGGTGCTGCAGGCACATGCCAGGCCTGTCAGCACCCAGGTCCAGCTGCAGCCAGCTCCTGAACACTGGGACTACCTTCACCTGGCCACAGGCAACCCCCAGAATCCTGCCTGGACCTTGCAGCTGCTGTCTGGCACCATTTCACAGTGTGGCTGTCAGTCCCATTCTGTGCCCCTGTGCTGGGCATTGCAGGCAGCTACCCCAGTCTGGAAGGACAGGGACAGCCATGCAGAGGCCCAGAGAGACATTGCGGGAGCCACACTGATGTCCTCACTGATACCACATGTCACCTCCAAGGGCCCCAGCTGGTTCCTGGATAACACTGAAGACCTTGTGGTGCTATGGGGTGAGGCTGAGGTGTTCATCCAGTTCGTGAAGGACTTGTGCTCCAATGCCCACAATTGTGAGGGGTTGCCAGGCTGTATGAATGAGCGCAGGCATGACTGGTCAGTAAGGCACTGCTGCATAAAGGTCAAGGCATTGCAGGCACAGTGGGTTACCATGACGGTCCACAACCATTGGTTGGAGATTGCCTGCAAGTTTATGCCCTTTATGTGGCAACTGGATGCCACTCTCATGCCCTGGGACCCTGGTCACAACCATGCAGTGTACTATAGCACAGGTGACCTCCCAAAGCCTCCACTATGGCCTAGTACCCACAGTGACATCACACAGGGAGGCAGGAGAGGAAGACAGTGCAAAACTTTCCTAAGCAGCCTGTGCCCCCACAGCTAGGTGAACACAGGCCTGTCACATGCCCAGAAATGTGTTGATGCCAGTGGTGATGTCCTCCTCAGCTGCAGGGTACAGGGACATGTAGTGCAGCCCCACGTAGCCCTCCAGGTGGTGGCAGAGGTTATGGGGCAGTGCAGGCTTGCCTGCTGCATCATTGAAAATCGAGGTCCTGTGCCAGGTGTGAAGGAGTGCCCAGGGCACCATGGTCAGCAGCAGCAAGGCGTAGTAGGTCAGGCAGCCCTCAGTCTGCACGAACAACTCCTCATGATGCACCTGGGACACTCACAGCATGGGCATGCTCAGAGCACAGAGCTAGTGTGGGGGGAGCTGGCCCTAGGTCTCCTCCCTGGAGAGCCCCCCTGCAGGAAGGGTGGGGGGAAGGGCAGCTCCATGTCCCTGTCATCTGGGAGCCCTGTGCCCCCTGAGCTTTGGTGCTGTGGGCTTGGCAGCAGCAGAGGAGACAGGCTGGCCTGCAGGAGAAGTGGGGGGGAATGGGTCTGGAGCCATGGGAGCAGGTGCTGCCAGGAGCCAGGCCTGGCCTGGCCTGGGAAGGGGGTGGGGGAGGCAGGTCGCTTGTGGCCAGCATACAATGGCCCTCCAGCCCCTGCAGAATGAGTGGGGATGGGGCAGAGGGGAAGGGATCGGCTCGTGGTCATCTGGGCTCACACCTGCCTGGCTAACTTACCATGGTCCCTGGGCACCTGTGTACACATGACCCCCGATCTGAGGCTGGGCATCCCATGGTCCCCTGGTATGAAGCATCTTATCTCAAAAATGTTGCAAAGTATCACAGCTTCTTTCTCATGGCTCTGCAGGTCCTGCAGCTGCATGCAGTGGAGAGGCAACCGTTGGCAGGTGGGATGGCAGCTCAGGGGCACTGCTGCCCTCATCCAGGGCCCTGCAGATGCACTGGTTGTGTCAGAAAAGAACACAGGACAGGACCCTCCTCCTGGACTGGCTGGCAATGGTGTCAGAGGAATGGCTGGCAGACTGGCAGGCCTGGTGTGTAAAGGACATGGCCTGGCAGGATACATGGTGTGCAGAGGACCTGGACCAGTAGCACACATGGGAGGAAGAGGAAGTGGCTCATGAGGAGGTGTGGGATCAGATGGACCAGGTGTTCAGGGTGCAGCTCCTGGCCCCTTGAGGAGCAGTACATGGAGGCCCTGGAGTGGCAGGCTGTGTTTCTGGCCAGGGCAGTGGAAGTGATGGAGGAGGACTGCCAGGTGCTGGACACCATCCTGACCCTGGTGGTCACCTTTGTGCTGCCCACTGCTCTGCCCCCAACCACAGCCCTGCCTGTCCACATGTGCCTGGGTAGAGGTCCAGTGCTGTTTCCACTGTCCAGGTCCCCTAGCCCCCACCCCAGGTTCCCTGTCACCTAGCCCCCCTGCCTGGGTGCCATCCTGCTGCTTGCCCCAGCTGCATGCAGCCACAGAGCAGGACCTGCCTGAACTGGGCCAGGGCTTCATTTGGGCCTTACACAGCTGGTCCCTGCTGGCAGGTGTGCAGCTTGGCCAGGGCCTTGGCAGGGGGGCCTGCCATAACTGGCACTGTGGCCAGCAGGAGTCCAGGGCAATGGCTATCACTGCCAGAGGCAGGCATAGGGGCAGAGGCAGTGTCTGGAGCTGCCATGGCAGGGGGAGGCAGAGGCTGCAGCAAGAGAGCCACCACATGCTGCCCCCATGTTATGCACACAGCTCCCAGCCAGAAAAGCAGCTACTCAGGGATCAGGGAGTGGGGTTGCCTTTAGAAGATGGCTGCCAGCCACAGGCAGCTGTAACTGGAGCATTTAGCTTCCTCTGGTGGTGGCAGGGGCCTGTTGCAGGGATGCAGGAAGCAGGAACAGTTTGATGCTAGGAGAAGCAAATCTGTTGCTGCTTCCCTGCACGTGTAGATGCCTGCCTGGGAGCATTTACTTTTGAGTACTTTAATCAAGAGTAAACTGCTCCTGGATCAAATGCATATGTAGACGTGCCCACAGTTTGTGAAAGGCATAGAAACATTAACTGCATTATAGAAATTCTGAAACTAGAACTTATCCATGTAATTAGTGCAACTTCCCTTAGAGAACAAGAACTTGGAGAAAGATCTTTTTCATTTTGCTTCCCCAAGATTGTCCTGTGTCTAAAACCCCCCTCTCTAACAGCTAATGTACTCTACTGTCAACTGCAGATTTGTTCCCTTCCTCCATCATAAGGCTGTTTCTGCACCTGCCATCATGCTTCTGGGCTTGCACATCTCAGTGCCGTGAAAAGGTTTACCTTGTTAACTACAATGAAGCCTTTGGAATCAATATTAATACCACTCTGCTTCAGAAATCCAGTTGCTGGAACTGCACCTGCCAGAAAAACAAGAGAAATTGTGTATGTTTGTCAGAATCCCAAACTTTGTCTTTTTCATGAAAATAGGAGTCAGAAGAAGAAAGGAGTTTACTCCCTGAAACAATCACTCTTGCTATTGTCATTCCAGTTTCAGGAA